TATTACAAAGAGGAGTAACGGAAGTCAAGGATTGCTCAGGGTTGGTACTGTGACAATGATGATGACCAGTTGGTGAGACACGAGTTGAGAAGCTTGGCAGTAGGTGGATGTTGTCAAATTTATAGAGACCACTTGAGTCAAGAGTTCCCTCAAGTAAAACTTTGTGCGACTCCTGTGATTTAACAAGGCAAAAGGTAGGATGAAACTCAAAGTAAACAGAATTATCTCTTACAAATTGACTAACACTAACAAGATTTTTCATAATAGAAGGCACAAGTAAGAGATTTTTGAGATGTAAGTGTGTGTGAAGATCAAAAGGTGAAGGGAAAAGAGAGGAACCAACTACTGTAACTGTCAAACCTTGGCCATTTCCTATCATTATTTGATCAGTACCACTAAGCTGCTGGCTTTGGATCAGATTCATTGGATTGGAGGTAACATGATGAGTAGCACCTGAGTCTGGATACCATTCCAAGGCAGAAGTAGGTAGAGATCCAGATTGAGTAGCAACCATAGCTTGTGGTTGCACATTCTGAGGTCGAACATAATGGAATGAACGACTTTGCTGAGGCACTTGACTCATTTGCATTTGAGGAAACATCTGAGATGTGTTAGTAGGAGGCTGAAGTGTAGGAATAAAATTCTCATCATACCGATACCAACATGTATGGACATCATGTCCAAATTTGTAGCACAACTGGCATTGCATATTCGATCTACCTCCACAACGACCTCTTCCTCTATTATTACGTCCTCCATAACGTCCTCTGCTTCTGTTTAAAGGATATGAGCGATCTGAGTTATTGAAAACTGTTCTCTGTTCTTGATCATTTGAAACAGAAGCAAGTGAAACACTACTATTTCCATTGTTATCTGTAACATTCTGTTTTCCAGTATCATTCACATGTTGTGTAAGGTTTATATTAGCTGAATCTGAAAACAATGCTTCAGATTGTTTAGCAAGGATCTGTTCATGAGTTAACAATTGAATACCAAGATCTTCAACAGAATATGGATTTTCACGTCCATGTACAGTAGCAATAAAAGCAACATATTCAACTGGTAAACCTCCAAGCACAATGTCTGTTCGTTCTTCATAACTTATTGGACTGCCTATGGCTCTGAGTGAATCACAAATACCTTTGATACGAGAGAGGAATTCTTTTGCTGTTCTCGAACCTTTTTTGATTGAGTGAAGTTCTGAGCGCAGAAGTCTTGCTTTGGATTTCATTATGCCTTGAAATAGCTTGTGAATTTTGTCCCAAGCTTCATGTGAATATTTTACTCCAAGGATCTCATTTACTACTGACTCAGAGATAGTTGAAAGAAGCCACGACAGAAGCATTGAATCTTGAGTTATCCAATCTATATATGCTGGATTTTGAACTCCATTGATCCGATCTTCTTCTGACTGAAATTGCAGTGGAATCTTTGGATTCACTAGGAAGCGATGCATTTGATGAGAAGTAATTATTGGTTCAACAATTTGATTCCAGAACAGATAATTTTCTTCTGTCAACTTCACAGCTATCTGTTGATTGAATAGTTGTGGTCCTTTGATTTCTATTGCTCGATTCTCCATGCTTGACTTTTCTTGCAATGGTGAACGATGGTGAACTTGTGAAGGTTCTGAGTCTGCTGGAGAAGAAGCTATTGCGGAAGCTATGATTGAGCACACTATGGACCAGGCCTTCAGAAAGAAGGCTCTGATACCATAATAGAATTGGATGAGTAAGGGAACAGAGAGAGAAAGTAGAGTAGATCCATTAGAAAGCTTGAGGAAAATACAGAAAGTGATATATCAAAAGATGCTTTACAACTACACCGTAGTGTCCTATTTATAGAGTAGCATTATCTCAAGTAACTGAGTAACAGAATCAGTAACAACCTAGCGAGAGTAATCAGGTGTGTACTTATGCACTCTTATAGAGCTGCAATAGATGAAAGCATTTTATATGCTAATAAAACCAAAATTGTTTCATCTTATCAGAAAAAAATGTAGAATTTATTTTAATTTTTTTTTATATTTTATTTGCTAGTAGTATACTCCTCTACAATGACCTCAAATTTCAACTTCCAGTACTGAAGCCATTTACGGAACAATAAATTAAGAAAATGTGACATGTCATTCAATGTAGATAAATTTAAAAAATATGAGTTCATAATATCTGATATTTTGAATGTCATTAAGATGTATGTTTATAAGGATTCTGAATTTCAATTTAAATTAATATAGTAATAGCATACATTTTCATTTATTTGTGCTTTATGAATTTGTAAAAGTGTGATTGGATAATTTTTGAGTTTATTTAGTGAAACTTGTTTAACTCATTTTAAATATTAAAAATATAATTAAATTTATATGTTTATATTTATATACATTTTTTTATATATATCTGAATTAGCCGGTCTGACTAATAATAGACCGACCCGACCAATAATACAATATCCCGATCAATCGGATCTAATAACGCTGGATGTAACAATTGCTTTTAACCTAATAGGATGGAACTTTTACCTTTACCATGAACGAATAAGTGTATGGGCACTTATGAAATATTCCTATTTACTGTATAAATAAGTAAAAAAAAAATAAAAATAAATTAAATTTCACCTAGTTAAATGGCCTGCCAGCCAGCTATTTAAATGTAACATACGCAATCCAGTTGGGATATTGTGCTTGACCAAGAAAAAAAAAAAAAAAACTCGCTGTTTTTATTAATTGTCATACTTTAATCTCCCAGGTTTTAATTTTCTATTTAAAATATTGGTCATAATTAATGTGATATTCTTTGTGTTAGAAAATTATGGAAATAGATCCTCTCATGTGTAATTTAACATGATCATGTCATGTAGGAAGATCTTAACCATTAATAATTAAATCAACGATGATGATTGTGTAACTTTTTATCCTTATATTTTTTTTCTCTCCTCCCTTATCACCATTAACTCACCCATATATAGTTATAATTGCCCCACATGACATGGTCATGTTAATTAGCACATGAGAGAGGATCCACTCTCAAAAATTATAGAAGATGTTACAATATTTACCTTTAAATTAATGTTGCATAGTCAAGACTAATTAAACGTAATATTTATTATATTACAGCAAAGTAGTAAACTGTTGGACGATAGGTTGACAATTAATTTTTTTGTCTCTAATAAACTACACACAAAAATTATGGCATAAAATATTCTAGAATAAAAAAATATAATAACATATATTGAGTACCCTAAATCAAAGATATCTCTCTCCCTGACTTATTATGAGGACAAGCAGCTGATTACTACAGCATACGGAGCATGACGTACACAATAACATTCGGTAAAGGTATGATCATTTTAAGAAGGGAAAATGTGTTTCTCATATATTGCATGAAACAAATTATCTTATGCAACATACAAAAAAATATGAGTGAAATCCATTTTTTTCTTTCTCTTTTTTTTTTTTTTTTTGGTTTCAAGGGAATATACTGAGATTCTTTCTTTCTCTTTCTTAACCTTAGTGAATCTCACCTACTTTTTTATATATTGCATGAGACAATTCATGCAACATGAGAAGGGTTACCAGAATGTGTTCCATTTTACATACTTTAAATCAGTAGCTGCCAAAATAGTCTACAGCAGCAAACAACAAACATGCCAAACTATTCTATGTACAATAAAAGTACATTGCATGCAACAGTTGATCAATGGAAATTGTCAAGTAAAAAACCCAGGTTGCTTGCATCCATGATCAGATAAAAGATTATAAGACATAGCTAACTGCAATGAAAATGGATTATATCCCTGTTCGGAGATGGGTGGGTGTAGGTTTGTGACAAAAGCATGTGTATATCTTACAAGAAATGAGTTTTAAGACTTATCCTCTCAGCATTCTAATAAATATGCCTTAGAAGTATACTTTTTGCTTCAGTGCATTTCACTGCCAGAAGATTTTTCTATAGATTGAAAAACACAGGTGAGCTTAACAGCAAATGTACAATATATGTCTACGTCATGAACAAAAAGAGATATCAAGATTAACCATCTTTCCTCATTTTTTTCTATTTCATTTATGAAGCAAACTTAGATTTTTATGTAGTATAGCTCCATTACATCCAGTTTGGATCCTCCTACCAAAACAAAATGAAAACAATTATCTCTACTAAACATATCATTTTCAAACAGATTATCAATCAAATAAATACAGAAAAACAGCACTGCATGAGTAGGTAGAAGAAAGTTCTCCACCTTGATCAGGTTGTGGGAGGGTCCTTCTATGAAAAGAAAAAAAGAAGGAAATACAGCAATAGCCATAAGACTAACTATGTTCCACGGTTCTGAATGTCAAGTAATAAAATGCTAAGAAGAGCACAAAAACTAAGTATAACAATTTTGAAAATGTTGCAATGGATGAGTGGATATACAAGAAAAGATAAGATTACAAATGAATCTATTCAGGAAAGAATTGGAAAAGCACCTATTGAGGATAAAATGCAGAAACTTGCTTAAGGCAGTTTTAACAAACCAACAAAGGCATACATAAGCAAAGTGAATCAAATGGAAAAAGGCAGAGGAAGTCAAAATAAAACTCTTGGAGAAACCATCAAACAAGACATGTGGTGGAATTGCTTGCTGTTGTTGTAGTAGTCACATCAATTGTATACTTAATTTATTAAGTCAAATAAAATCAATCAGAAGAGCATGGCTCATATTGATGCCATTGTTAAACAAGTGATAAATAAAACAAGAAATGTGTACATATTGTGTAGGAACATCATGTATATAAGGGATCAAATGAGCAAGTTACCTCCTCTTATTTCAACAGCCAACAGCTCATATGTAATATATATTTTTTATGTAATTTCATAGATTAAAATAGTTCATGTAACAAAGGGACATAACAACCAAGACTCATCAGAAGAAACAATATGTGAATAACAACAATATTTCTTTTCAAGGTATCATTGAAAATAAAGACCAAAGGCTAAAATGATATTTGCATATACTACAAAGGAAAAATTAAGCATAATTCGAGTTTTATCAACACAAATTAGAGCTAAAAGTAAAACTCTTCAATCAATGATGATTTTGAATTGATGCCGTTATACCAATATGTGGGGGCACACACCCACATATCTCACCAGAGAGAGAACAAGGGGGAAAAAATATAGAAAATAGAAAATCATGTCATTCTTGAAAAGTTTCAAACTTTCATTTTTCTTTACTGTGGTGAAAAGGAGATCTTCACAGTGACAATGCAGCATTTAGCTCCAATGCTAAATAGTAGAGTCCCAACCTCGCATGCCCAACGCCAAAATGTACCATACTGTTAGTTAGTTATAATTAACTAACTAATTAACTAACTATCTAACAGTACAACGCCAGCGTTTCTCTAAATGTAATATATAATGAAATTGTCGCAGAGAAAACACAACAAAACCCTAGTTCATATTTGAGTGGCCAATTGAACAAAAAACAAGATAACCAAGCATCATATAAACATGCACTTCCAATTACCAAAAAGTTCAATCGAGATCCTTGACAACCTTGATCCCCATGCTATTAGCGGTTCCAATGATGGATTTGGAAATGGAATCCAAAGGCATGTTCAGTAAATGAGGATCCGATTGTTTCACCTTCGCGATCTCGTACACGTGCCGAACGGAGAGAGTCGACGCAGTCACGTGACCGGGGCGGCTGCTGCCGGAGTCGACGCCGGCGGCTTTCTTGAGGTACCACGAGACGGACGGCGACTTCACGGTGAACTCGAAGGTGTTGTCCTTGAACGCCGTTATCGTAACGGCCATGGGTGTGTCCGCTTTGTACTTTTGGGTTCGTGCGTTAAAGTCCTTGCAGAACGCCATTAGGTTCAGCCGGTACTGACCCAGGGCCGGTCCGACCGGAGGCGCAGGCCGGGCCCCTCCGGCTGGCACAGTGAGCCGGATCGTCGCCGCCACGGTCTTCAGGGTGCTCATCGCGGTGGCTGGGATTTCAGTGGAAGAGAAAGGCACCAGCGAGGGTTTAGCGTTCCTTATATGGGCCGGGCCTTACTGTCAGTTGCATTGGCCAGGCCTTATACAAAAACAAAACACACTACTTCATGAATGCCATCAGATTGTCGCGTGCGTTTAAAATAGACAGTTAAAAAATTATATTAATGTTTTTTAAAAAAATAGTACAATTTTTCAAAAAATTGTAAAAAATAAAATAAAATATTATATTTGAATACTACTCTCTCTTGTGAGCATTTAGCTTTTTTTCTTTATTATAAAAAAATTGTAAAATTATATTTAGTTAAGCTTTTCTACTTATAAGAGAAAATAAGTTAAAAATAAGAATTCCCAAATAGACACTTAGATGGACCAAAGTATTTTTATTTCAAAACAAAAATACTAATATATCTCACTTTAAAAAAAGTTATTATTCTATTTCACTTTTAATCATAATTGACTGCATGGGTTCATTTCAAAAGTGTGCCTTCCTAACTCTTACTCCACCTTAAGTGCGCATAGGTAAAATAACATAGATTAGTAATTTGATCTAGAGTAATATACTAGGCCTACATTTAAAGACTTCATCATAAAGAAAGCATATTCAAAAAGGGTTTTAGTATGATCATGGGTTGCCCTACCTTTGTCATGTTATTTCTGCAACTTTTTTGCAAAAATCATTCAAGCCACCTATACAAAGAGACCTTGTTGCCTTATTATTTGCTGGCAACAATTAGAGGCATCCCTAAAGCTAGTTATCCCTCACTATATATATATATATATATATATATATATATATATATATATATATATATATACATATATTCCTACAGCCACTTTAGATAAAGTTTTCTACAGCTATCCCAAAAACTACGTCGTTTGATTAATGAAAGGTGTTTTAGTAAAATGCATATGATAAAAAAATTAACAAAATTACAGAAACACTCTTCATTAATTCACATAAAATTACAGAAACACCATTCATTAATCAAAACGACGTAGTTTTTGGGGTAGCTGTAGACAATCTTATCTAAAGTGGCTGTAAAAATGTTTACCCCTATATATATATATATATATATAGACACACACACACACACACACACACATATAAATTATTAAGCCCGCTCGTCGAAAGAAAAATACCTATGAGTTGAGCGCTCATGTGCGTTGAAGCGCGATGGAGTCAAATTAAAGGCAAGGTGGAACACACAAGGGAATTAACCCTAAGACAATGGAAGTTTACGTTAATCTTTTGTGGTCAAGGACCAACAAGCTCCAAGCTTCAGTCCTCTTTAATAGGATCAAAGAGAGTCACCCTACAATGATCATGACACAATGATCAAACCATTACTCAATCACAATAATAATCACAACAACACAACAACTCTTCATTCCAACTCTTTTTTCCTCAATTTAAGCTCACATGGTTGATGGGTATAGCTTTCCCACATGCAAGGTGTAACACCCCGTATGCATCCAGATTTGTTATCATATTATGGTATTAAGTGCAGCTCAATTAAATGCAGAAGTTAAAATAAATTAAGTTATTAGACATGCTAGGTTACTTTTTCCTTATTAACATGACAAAAATAAAAGTTCATCTATATCCTTATGTAATTGTAAAACCACAATATAATTCCTAAAATGCCTCCATATCATAAATAAATACTAAGTCATAAAGCTACATCAAAACATACATGTCCAAAAAAATAAAAAATATCAAATAAGGCATGGACAACCCCATGCTCACAACAAATATAACATACGTATGATAGTCATATCTCAGGTACAATAATCATGTCCAAATGATATAAATAAAGCATGCATATAAATCAACTCCGCTCCGGCCTCTTGCCTCGTGAAACATCCATCTCATGGATATCTACACCTGAAAATATGCCCCACAAGGGGTGAGATCTCTAAACAGAAATCTCAGTAAGCAAGGGTTCTCGAAAAGTTCCTCCGCCCTAAGCTCACTTTGGTATAACAGTTTAAAATAACAGTTTGACAGTAATAATATCCATATGATGCAACAATATATATATATATATATATATATATTATGCATGTGTGCTAACAAGTCTACTGGCCAGAGAATGGTATGTTTTACACATGTCTGCTATATACATAAGAAGTATAAAGCTCTTGCCTTATACCCACACTCAGGGAATACAGTCTTGTGCAGCTCCACACTACACTCATGTATTAGTTATCTTGTGTGTACTACACCACATAACATACATATATAAGAGTGCATCATTTCATCATCTCAAATAACAGATAAGCACATATACCATATAAAACTACCTTCTTCCTCTTGGAAAATGGTGGACCAAATAGAGATTAACCCTGAAAACACGAAACTTACCTATTAAGTAGTATATCTAGCTCAAAATCCAAACAACAATTCACAGATCACAAAATAGCAGAATCATAGTCCTTTTAATGTCAAAAATAACATTAACAATTAGATTCTCGAATTTCATGACATTTGGACTACATTTTTTTTTTCGTTTAGAGACTGCAGGCTTCTCCCAAAGCCCCTAAGCACAAAACCGCGTTTACTCTTTTTAAAACTTTAATTGTAACTCTTTACCAAAAATTATAATATTTTAATATGTTAAACTAGTTATCCTAAGTTTTCCAATGACATATTTTATGTCTCAATCAGAGTTATGTAACTCCGGTTATGCTTTTTGCAAGGTGACTACTACATACTGAATTTCCAACAACCAAGTCGCGACTTCAAACTAACACTGCAATCAATCCATTATCCAATGGATATGAAATTTTACAAGGTTTTAGCCCTATGTATTAGCTTCACATAAGTCCAAACCTCACTCAATTTAGAGCTCTGTAGCTCGAGGCATCGCGGTTTTATTAAACTAGTGTGTTGTTGTAACAGCCCGTTACGTACTGGTAATGTTATCATTGCATATGGTATTAAGCGCAGTTACAATCACAGTAATTGAGTTAATTAAATTACGGGTAAACTTTTTCTTTTTATTCAATCCTTATCTTTAACATTAATCATTTCCGTAATCAATTAAAACAACACCGTAATTGTAAATGCAAAACTCGCGGAAGCTTAAAACTTATCAATTACAACCCATCCAAGCAATACCATTAGCTTAGGTTGTAAAAACACTTAATTTCAAAAATTACACAGTGATAATCGATTACCATCCTTGAGGTAATCGATTACCAAAGGTTACTGTAGAAGTCAGTAGCTCAATTTGGGCTCCCCTGTTTTGGGTAATCGATTACCTTGACATAGGTAATCGATTACTGAACTAGGTAACCGATTAACAAAGAAAGGTAATCGATTACCTTGATCACAATGGCTCAATTTTTTGCGTCCCCTGTTTTAGGTAATCGATTACCAAAGAAAAGTAATTGATTACCCTACTGTAAAAATGACAGATGACAGCTTTTAAAACACAAAATGGGTTATGTATTCTACCCTTGACACTTTACTACTAAATATACAACTTACATAAGAACTAATGTAGGCTCTAGGCCCTTCCATCATGCATAATCATTATCCATATGTCAATTACAATAATTCTCAATTCCAAGGCCATTTAAACATTTTATGGCTCATTTTACATCACAATCTCCAAATTCCTTGAAGCACCAAATATGTGGCCATGGACAAGTCACATGCTCACCAAAGTACTAATATAAACAATAGGCATAAATATACATCAAATTCAAAAGACTTAGAATATAGTTATGAACGCACAAGGCATGACAATATCAACATGCAATATGTTCATAACCTAAGTCCAAAATACTAAACACTATGCTATGTGCATCAAATGTAATTCTCCAAAATGCTATGCCCTCCATATACACATCATGCTCAACTCCCCCTCTAAGCGGACCTCTTGCCCGAAGATCCTCCATGCTCAACCTAACCTAAAATGATGTCCCCAACGCAGGGTGAGATATACAAATATATCTCAGTAAACCAAGGGTACTAGAGGATCACTCCACCTCATGGCTGACTCAATGTGCATACAATGATCATCATATAAAATGTATAACATACACAATCACATCACATTGGGCACAAATCCAAGAACATCCACATAAGGATTCCGTTCAAGGACCCCATCATATAACTCCCGAGAAGCTTCCTGGTGCCTCTCCCATGGATGAGACAACCCCATGGAAAAACCCAACTGGAACTCCTCATGAGCCCTATCCAGCGGAAGTCCCACGTTTAGATCATCCTGGTGCCGCTCCCAAAGTCGGCCCCACGGCAAAACCCGACCGGAATCCCCAAAAGATATCTCCAGCGGAAGTTCAAACCACACACATCTACTGGCTAAAGATCACAGATATATCACACACAACATGCTCCAAGCATGTCACACAATCAAGCAATAATGCATGAACATACATACTCACACCATGTCAAAAGCATAAAATCCAACCATAACCTTCCACTAGATATGGTGGAGCACACAAGGGAATAAAGCCAAGTTCCAAAGGTTTACCTCAACTCCAAGAGTAATAATCTTCCACGTAAGCTCCAAGCTTATTCCTCTTCTATTGGTTTCGTGAGTGGCAACCTATATGATCAAATAACCATGATCATCAATACAATTTCAATGCAATCAATTCACATCAAAATACTAATTCCCAAACCTATTCATGTAGGCCAAAGGGCTATTTTACATTTATTTTTCCGTAATCATTCTTATAGGTCAATCACCACATACACAAGCATCCAATCATTCTTCCTTCCAATTCCACTATATCACAATACATTAACATCCATTTAAGTACCATTTCCCAACATACAACCTCAACTACACAATTTTTACATCATCAACCATACATGGCCTCAATAGGTCGAATTCTTCAAGGAAACATCTTCCAAGGTTTTTAATCCAATTCAACACTTACACATGTCATACAATCCTATTATTAACCCATACCAATGCTCCACAACCCAACTATTCAATCCTACCATCATACCAATTCATAAAGTATTGAAATTCAACTCAAATTTCACTAAGTTACAATTTCCCAAATCACAATAATTTTTATT